TTCCTAGTGAATCTGAAGACCTTGATTAGCTGCTTTAGGAGTGTTTAATTAGAGTTGGAGCTAAACTTCACAGGACATTAAACCTCCATGAATAGGTTTAGACAGTCCTGGAGCCCCTACTTTCCTGCTTGGGGACATATCAGAAAATATGGTACTGGTCTTTTTAAACTGTTAATGCAACCATATTCTCTACCATCAGACAACAAATACACAGGCGACTGCATCAACTACATAAAATGTACTCGCTGTTCATTTTGTTGCATTGATGCTACAAAAGCTCTCTGTCTTTATAAAGATATAGAAATGTCAGCATCTCTGGCTGTAGGTAAGGACATATACTGGGTGAGCATCTTCAATTCACCTGTATGCCTCTGGATTGTGGGAACTGCACCCAGAGGAAAGCCATGCAAACAGTGAGTGCATTCAAACTCTACACAGAAAGGCCTCCTGACTCAGCTAGGACTAAAATCACTTTATGATTTCCCAACCAATAAGCAAGGAAAACTTGACAGCAGCAAAAATCCCACTAGTAATTATGACACTGTGGTGTTCATGTGCATTCATTTCCTAAACATGATCATTCTGATATGACCTGAAAGTAGCATTAGACTGGGTTTCCAAATGCAAATACAAACTTTGACCAGTGCTAGATGGTTTCGTATCAGTATAAAGTGTTAATAAATATCAGCACTGCTGTGGAATGCAGGTGTGGAAACCTAACTGCCACCTCCTGTTTTAGAGCCGGTGTGGGATGTTCCACTGACTGTAATCTGCCTTTATGAGGTAATGACACACAGCGCTACGCCCTCCTGATCAGCAGATAAGACAGAGACAGACCGGAGTATGTAAAAATCCCTTTGATCCTCCCAATACTCCACAGATGAAAAATATTGATAAGGTTGAAAATAGCTTTGGTTTAGGCTACAGTCGGCATCTATTGTGGAGTCCTGCAGAGCGTGGTCACATTAAATATGTGACCTCCTGTTTGGATGGACTTGGTGACTGCGGTACGGGGCAAGATTGGAGCATAATGGCGAGTTCCCGTGTTATTGTTTAACAGATATCCCACTGTCTTTGCGTTCTGTGTGGTACAGCAATAGATGAGTGGGAGGAAACCGAGAGAGAAAAGTGAATGCTTCCATGAATAGCTATACTTTGGTGTCCCATTACTTTTAAAAACTCACGTTTTATAGTGGGAGCTATTAGATAAGTTAAACAAACTATTCCTGCATCCCAGTGTGCATAATATTAATGCTAAAAAGTATGTTAGATTAGAATAAGTGTGTCCCAAAAGAATAGTATGTTAAAAAGGAGTAAATAGAGTTAGTAAGGTAGTTGTTAAGTTTAGGTATGGGGTGGATTACAGAATCTAAAATATGGTCCTGCAGAATAAGACATTAATATGTGCTTTATAAGTACTAATAAACAGCCAATATGCTAGCAATATGCATGTTAATAAACAACTAGTTTATAGTGAGAATTGGTCCCTAAACTAAAGTGTTACCATTATTTTCATTGATTTAATTTACACACCTTCTTTTACTTACCTTCTTTAGGAAAACAGATGCATTTCAAATTAAGTATTTTTATTTCATTAAAAGCGTTAAATCTTTGCTGCTACAGTGGAAAACAGAGCACCAAATTCCCTTAATCTAACCCAAAGTCCACAGTCCCTATTCACAGAGAGACAATGCTTGATAAAACAGCATTTGATGAGGTTCTTGATGATCATTTGATCAGGGTTTCCAACCACAACTCCTCCAAAATTTTTCCAGCAAGAGTCTGAAGCTGCTGTTACTCAGAGCTTTGTCTAACATTTGTCCATTCGGCTCAACAGTAAAATCTGCACATCAAATAAATATCTGGTGTGGTTGTGTTACCTTTGGAAAAAAACGATCAGATCATGGACAAGAGGAATTTGAGTGGGCAGATGTGTTAAAGATTGTTAACTCCAATGCCGATTTCTGGAGACCATTCTGAAAAAGAATACACCTTTAGCAAATGCTGCTTCAAAATATTGTCTGGGAAGATGCTTTCAACACTTGTGATCTTCTCTATTAAATACATTTTAGCTGTGTGAATATTGACTGGTATTACAACTATTCTTACGTTACAAAGCACAGAAAAACAAAAAGCAACACAACCGATGGCCTAAGAGCCATCTACCTAGACAGCATTTAAGGCATCATAGATAGAGCATCACACCTAACGTGAAATTCTATTGGAATGAATTGTGAGTCAAGTGTGAGCCTCAGATCACTAATTGTATGACACCACAGTTGCTGCCTTTGTAGCGTGCTCCAAATCAGTCGCCACATGAAATGTAAATGATCTGAATGTTAAATTTCATGGATAAAGTTCCAACTTATTAGACATGATTCAAATGAGAGTTCATTAGAAACCACAGTGTTTTATCTTGACTAACATTCATATTTGCATTCTGTATTATTCATTTATATTGTCAACTTCACTCGCTATCCCAGCGGACAATTGATGTTGAAAAGACATCATATTGACATCAAACATTGACATAAAAAAAACAGGTCAAATATGCAAATCAAACTGACATCAAAAACTTGGCCCGACGTTGATTTGATGTAAATTGAACGTCAAACATATTGTCCTAAATATACACTAAACAAATTTCAGTGTGGGATTCACCTATTTTCACCCAATTACCACTGGAAGAAATTGCCGTCAGAAAACTGAATTTAAAATGATAGTTCAGCATCTTGATGAAGTCTTGACTAATATTTGAAGTCAAATTGATATCAAGATGCTCGCTGGGATCCATCTGGGGTGTTTCCCTGATTTTGGCCCTTGACTCTGGGATAGGCTCCTTGGCTCATTGGAAATATGTGACTCGGCCAATATTCCTGCAAAATGGTAGAAACTTAAAAAAAAAAAAAAAAAACATTTACCTGCAGATACTAGGTGAAAAGAACACTAGAGGCAGTAAAACACCAACAACTTTGGTTGCTTTTCACACAAATTATGATTATGGGGCAGACTGTCGATAAATACTTATTACGATAAGACTTATTTTTGCGTGGCTTCTTGGACAATACAATGTTATGACTTCAAAACACTTTTACCATAGTGCATGATTGCATCATATAATCTGCTCCATATACAGTATATATTACTTTTTTTTTCACTCATTTTGCCTGAAGCTCACCTGGTACAGCGTTGCACTTGTGGAGCACTTTGGTAGAAGTCTGGTGAAACATGAACACTCCACAAAAAAGAACCAAAGTCTTGTATATGGAAGCTAAAATAGCATGGTTACCTCAGCAAATTTTTTTATTTCTCGTTTGCTTTTGTTAACACTATCGGTTAGGTTTAGTGTAGGTGGTATGGTAATTTAAAACCCATCACAGAAATCTATCTATCTATCTATCTATCTATCTATCTATCCATCCATCCATCCATCCATCCATCCACACATAATTTAAAAGCACTAAATTAATGAAATTTTCCTATTTTCTGTGACCTAATCTAAAGTGAGAAGTATTTACGGTAAAGTTGTTAACAAAGCATTATTAAAACATGATTGTAACACCAGTCACAAATTCTTATAAAAATGTTTTTAGATATATTAAAATCATCGCAAACTTACATCTGATAAGACTGTAATCAGTAAATTATGACTTTTTTTTTTAAATGAACGTTTCACGTGAACAAAGAAAGCCAATGAATTTAAACGGAAACATAAAAAAAGTAAATTCGTTTTTAAACCTTTTTTTTTTACTTTTTGAACTTAGTGGGAAAATCATTATGTGCACACCTGAAAAGCCTCTGAGTTTGAATGTACATTTCTATAGTATTTTGTATTTTTAAAATAGTATTTAACATTGATCGATAAAAGTGCAAGAACAATTCTTCTGAACTTGTTAATATCTTTAGTTATTTGCATGTTCTTTTTGCACAGCTGTTAGACCTTGCACTTATGCTTTACCTTGGAAAAGAAATGGATTACAAATAAACAAATCAACAACTGGAAATGTCAGAAGTGGTGTACCAGATAAACACTATAAACTTTTATGTTATGAAATGATGCCTTATACATGGTGTTTCTTGACTATAAATATTTTTATAGTATAACTCAAAGGTCAAGGTACAGGTTTGACACCATATTTTGAGAATGACTCAATAATAAGAAAAGTTTCTTGAATATCAAATCAGCAGAAAAAAATATCGTTCTGATTTTTAAGCTTTAATCAAAACAGCACAAGTTCCTGTGATATGACTGATGTTTGTAAGACTCTTATCTGCCTCCATTCATGGCCTGCACTTTTTTCCTGTTCGATGAGCTAAATCACCCAGAAATACGTCACAAATCAGAAGTAAAATTGGTCGCAAATTCTGTTTCATGCCAACTTTAAACAATATTTGCAATATAACAGGGTAGTGGCTGCTAAAAACTGGGATTTGCCACCGCAGCTAAAAATGTAATTTAGAAATATATAAAAATAAAGGATTTTCAATTTCAAACAGTAAAAATACTTTACAATAGAAGAGATCTAAAACAATAATAACAACTGATATCAGAGACAAATGACAGCCACATGGATCCTACTGTTAAATAATGCTATTAAAGCTGATGTGTATAATTGTCTGTGCTGAAATACTGGTTAACATGTAGAGTCAGTGTGAGTAAGCCAGTGCTGTAGTTTGTCTTCTTGAAGAGTGTAAACACTGTGACTGTTTGAGCAGCCTGACATGTCAACTTCTGACTCAGTCAGTTGTGTGAGTTTGTGGTGGGACCAGTCGTTTGCCAGATGACAGATGGAGGTGGAAGTGCTTGGGAAACTTGTTTCTCATGCTTATTATTTCTGCAATTCCATTTAGCTCCACTAGTAGCACAGAAATCACAGATTCACCTTTAACTGAAGCCAACAGGAAAATTACAACAACGCAAAGTCAGAGGTTTTGCGAAACAATGTCATATTTAATTATAATGACAATAAAAAAATAAAAATAAAAAAAATGATGTTTTTCACAGACGAACATTATAATTAACAACGAATCCAACAACAACCAAAACAAAATAAATACAATGACTTGGTACATAAATATGGCTTAAAAAAGTGGCACATCAGACGAGTGCAGCATGAAAACAGCGGTGAGTGAGGATGAGGATGGTCGTGTGTGTATCAGGAAGGGCTTGCTTTACAAGTCTGCATGAGGACATAAATGAATGGCCTGATATCATCCACTACCTATACAGCAAGAGAGAAAGACACAGGGATTGTGATTATGATGTGTTGAATGAAACATGGTTTTTAACTAGTGCATTACATTTTTTTTTAAAACAACATATCCAAGCCTCAAGCATATTTTTAAAGATCACACCACAGGACCATTACATTGTAGCAATGGGGAATTCATTTTTATGAAAGCCTGGACTTACTGTGTAGAAAATGTGCCGGTTAAATAATCATGGATGAAGTTAATCTAAATTAGGTTTTGGTTGTAACCGGTGACTTTTCATTGTTTTTTTTTTTGTATATTTAGTGTACTATTGAGGACTGGTCAATAGCTTACCAGAAAATAGTTGGTTTATGAGATGTGGCTTGTGCTTGCAAACTGTACTTCCCAGTATTTTATATAATTATTATCATAACTACAAAAACTACTCGTCACAAAAACAGAATCATAAAACACATAAATAAAAACGCACATAATGCGCAACCTCTTCATTGCGTTGCATTAGTGCCAAAACAGCTCGCTGTCAGTATAGCCAAGTTTCCATCCAAGGAGTTTTGCGGAAACCGATTCAGCGCATCAAAATATTTACTGATGCAGCAGATGGAAATCCTGACTATCATTAAAATTTCACAACACAATCTTTGGTCACACTTTAGCTTGGGACCAATTCTCACTAGTAACTAACTATTAATTATGACTTTTGTCTCAATAAACTCATAATTTGCTGCTTATTAATAGTTAGTAAGATAGTTAAGTTTAGGTATCATGTAGAATTAAGGCATCTAAAATATGGTCATGCAGAATAATGCATTAATATGTGTTTTATAAGTACTAATAAACAGCCAAAATGCTAGTAGTTAATAGTGAGAACTGGTCCCTATAAAGTGTTTTTTTTTTTTTACTGCATAAATTCTGTGTTAATTCCTAAAATGCCTGTATGTTGCTCCCTTTAAAGCTTGTTTCTTATTTTAATTTTTAATACGCCTAAACATATACACCAATTCATTTTTCTTAAAGAATGACGTTATTACACGCACCATTACATTGGATGGAAACAGGCTGGAGACAGCAAATTTTATACTTAGCTTAATTTTGACACAGTTTCACTTATAACAAAACAGTGCACAAAGTGGATAGAAACTTGCCTATGTCAGAAAGTGAAAAAGAGAGAAATGTGAAATTATATTATAGTCCAGCATATCTATAATATTCTGATCAAAATCACTTAAACACACGCATGCGTCATGATACTCTCGTGAACGCAGGTCGAAGACTGACACGGAAGAGAAGAAATTGTTGAATAAAGTCATTATTTTTGTTTTCTTTGCAGACAAAAAGTATTCTCGTAGCTTCATAAAATCACGGTTGAACCACTGATGTCACATGGACTATTTTTATCGATGTCTTTACTACCTTTCTGGACCTTGAACGTGGTAGTTGTGTTGCTGTCTATGGGAGGTTCAGAGAGCTCTCGGATTTCATCAAAAATATCTTAATTTGTGTTCCGAAGATGAACGAAGGTCTTATGGGTTTGGAACGACATGAGGGTGAGTAACTAACGACAGAATTTTCCTTTTTTGGGTGAACTATGCCTTTAAAATCCCTCTCGGGTTGTCAGATGGGACCCACCACTGTTTACACCTGCTACTAAGATCAGTCTCCTGATTTTGTCACTAGATACATTACTCATTATATGACTGTGAGTTTATCACTCTTAGTATAAAACAAGTAAGAAAGTGGGAAAAATTTCAACTGAATGTAGTCTCTCAGATTTCAGAGGCAATTTCAAACTTTTTAAAGACTGTTATTTTACTACCGAGAGGAGTTTTTTTGTTTTGTTTTTTTGTAATGGTAACCAGTGAAGGGACTGCATTGGCTAACACTGGTACAGAGCATGAACTTTGTTTACACATGTATATAGCAAAAAAACGGATGTTAATACCAGGTGTGAACGTGGACAGACAGAAACCAGTCTGGAATGCTTGCTCTTTCTCAGGCTGCACCAGCAGACAATATTTAATCAGTAACCAGTTAACAATTAGAGTGAAAGAGGAAATGAGCATCAACCAGCGGCCACATCTGACACATGACACTGTTTGTTTATTCCACTCTTATCAAAAAGGGGGGGGGGGCGGGGGTTATAGTTCTGCTGTATAGTTCACATGGTCTCTTTATTATGAAGCTGGTCTGGTGATGGTCTCAGGCTCAGTCAACACATCCACAGTCTGTTCACTGACCATCTAATAAAACTAGAAAGCACGGTAACACTTTAGTAAAGGGACCAATTGTCACTATTAACTAGTTGCTTATCAGCATGCCTATTATTTACATATTGGCTCATTATTAGTACTTATAAAGCGCATATACTGCATGACCACATTCTACATCACTAATCCTACCCAATACCTAAACTTAACAACTACCCTACTAACTATTAATAAGCAGCAAATTAGTCGTTTATTGAGACAAAAGTCATAATTAATGGTTTGTTAACAGCGAGAATTGGACCTTAAAGGCACAATCAGCTTGTAACACTCCAAAGAGAAAGGAAAACTTGAAATCGCATCATATGACCCCTTTAAAATAAAGTGTGACTGAAAGCAATTATGAACACCACAAGCGCCAATCAGACTGTTATGCAGCATTTTGGCATCAGGTTTCACAGGTTTACTTTGTATGATCTCTAAACAGCCTGTAAAAACAAACTGCAGTTGGTCCTTTTGTCTATCAGTAATTACAGTGTTTCTATACTGCAAACTTGGACAAAGATAGCAGAGGGGTGTCCTGAGGCGCGCTTGTCATATTTGTGGACAATCATTCTGACAGAGCACAAATGCCTGTGCATTTTAAAACATGAGTGCATATATAAATAGACAATGCACAGCTGACATGAAGGTGGATTAATTGTGTGTGTGAAAGCATGTCCAGGTCCTCACCTCCTGATGTGACTAGCATCTAGCTGCTCCTGTAAGACTGACGCTCTCTTCTGCAGGAAGCTGACCTGCAGAATAAACAACAAAATCATCTACACGTGCAAGCATTCCCAGAGCATTATGGGCTAGTTCTCTGGTGAAGAGTATGAGCTCAACAGAAATTAATATATAAGCAGCCCACAGGATTCTGAATGGTAAACCCACAACTGTTAGGCCAAACTGTCAGACCAGATCAATGTACTCTACTTTTAAAGGGCTCATGCCATGAGAATCTGAATTGTCCTTGATCTTTGGAAATAAAAGACTTCAATGTGCTATTAAAACATACTGTAATGCTCAGAACTCCAAATGTCCTCCCAGCCTATAAAAGAGCATTTACTAAAAACGGCTCATTCAGAACTTTCACAACTTTTTGACCTCAATCAGATGAATACATTAACACATCAATGACACCCACTGGGAGTTCAGAAACTTTATCTGCCTACTATCAGTGGGAAAAAAAAATACATATGATTCATGCAACTCCACAATCGCTTTTACCATGTGCTATTGTGTAACAATAGTGAGTAGCAAAAATGTATGTCAATACAGCAACCGTAGCTCCGCTGCGAGCAAATGTGATTCTTTATGAAAATAGTTTCTCGTAAAAAGAAATACACTTGGTTGATTCTGGCTTTTTAAATTTTGCACGAGCTTGAAAAGAATGTACATTGTTCTGCGACGATTTTCCTGGAAACCAAGACACACAAAGCAAACCTCAGAGCAAATCTAATGTTACCATCCTTGCAAATGCATGCCTCTGACTTTGAAAAGAATGACTATGGTTAGATTCCTAAACGGCCACTGGTTTTGTTAAAATAATGCACTGCTATGTGCAATGCTCGAAATATTCAAGGACAGAGGAGGCCACGCTGGTCACCAATTACAACGCATAAACATATCAGATCACAGAGCTGTGGCTGCGATTCTGAAAGAATCAAGTCGGAGCTATTCAGAGGCGTGCGCCGGGGCTTTGAACTGTGATCTCGAAATGTTGTTTGAGGGGCCCCCGGATCATGCCTGACAAAGGGGCTATTGTTTAGATTTGAAATGTTTAAAAAATGCTCTTGCAGAAGACTCGTGTAGAACAAGGCTGACTGTAACTAATAAGACCCTGGCCGGAGCCCTTGAAGCCTGTATAAATGTGGTTGACTGGTGTAATTGCACATAAGGAGATGAACTGGACCAGAGACTTCAAAGACCCATGGCCAAATTAGATCCATGTCTATGGAGGAACCTGCAGGACTTGTTACCCCCTCCCCTTCCCAAGAAACCAAATAAACAAGAGCCACTTGAGTTCAAAGACGTGAAGTCTGACTGCTCGGCATTATTAGATGAGGGACAGGACGCTGCGATGGCATACAAGACATAAAATGTGGAGGTACTGAAGTGAAGCGGACTGATCACAAGCACAGAGGTGCAGGACTTCATACGAGGGGCTGAAAACCTAGCTTGTGTTCGGTTTTGGTGTAAAATGCACTCCACACATCAACAACGTTTGACTTTTAAGAGTGGTTTGGAGACTATAAAACAAATGATACAGAAACCATCAAATGCTTTATCATTTACAGTAGAACTAATGTGCTGGGTCTGTAATTTTGGTAACACTTTATTTTAAGGACCAATTCTCACTATTAACTAGCTGCTTATTAGCATGCCTATTAGTGCTTATAAAGCACATATTAATGCCTTATTCTGCATGATTATAGTTTAGATCCCTTAATCCGATCCCATACTAAACTTAACAAATACCTAACTAATAAGCAGCAAATAAGGAGTTTGTTCAGGGAAAACTCTTAGTAAATATGTGTTCCCTATTCTAAAGTGTTACTGTAATTTTGATTTGTTAGTGCTCATAATATACAGAACACTGAAACTAGACCTTAATTTCAAAGCGGAAGCTCCAAACAATGGCAAATGCAATAAGATCTCACTGCTTCACAAATGCTTCACTGTTTTTTGCAACCCATTGGAAATATGTGACTCCTATATGTGGCTACATTTCTGCAAAACTTGAAATACATTGTTCCGGGTACATTTCACTGCACTTTTCAGGTGACATGCCCACAATAAGCGGTTTAAATGATATCCCAGTGTTATGAAAAAAAAACTGCTTGTGGATACATATTTGCAAAATGATATTGAGTTGCCTGTAGCATGTTCCACAGCTGTTTCAAAATTAAATCTTCTTTGACTGCCACCAAATAGCATGTTCAATTTTCTCCAAAACAGTTAAAGGTAACCGTGCCAACAGTTTATTATGTTGGTTAATGCATATGTCATGGCAGTCTGGAAATGAAATGTCCGGTAAGTGGCGATAAAGTGTATAGTGTATAGTTATAGTGTAAATAACTACACTAATCCCTACCCTAAACCTAACCGATAATCTTAACAAAGCAAACATGAGATAAAGAAGAATTTGCTGAAGCAACCATGCCATTTTAGCACACTTCTATGTGCTCTAAGCTTTTTTCTGGAGTGTTGTGACTCGTGTTTTACAGCACTCGTACCCCACATCGCAAATGCAGCACTATGCTTTATTACAGAAGACAAACATATATGTCAAAAAAAATCTAAATATTGAGAAAATCGCCTTTAAAGTTATCCAAATGAAGTTCTTAGCAATGCATACTACTAATCAAAAATTACGTTTTAATATATTTACAGTAGGAAATTTACAAAATATCTTCATGGAACATGATCTTTACTTAATATCCTAATTATTTTTGGCATAAAAGAAAAATCTATAATTTTGACCAATAGTTATAGTTATATTTTTGGCTATTGCTACAAATATACCCCAGCGACTTAAGACTGGTTTTGTGGTCCAGGGTCACATATATAGAGCTGGATATTTGATGCAAATGTATTCGTTTACAAATCACGCACTATGGTAAAAGTGATTTGAGGCTATAAATAGTACTGTGCAAGGAACAATGTGAAAACAAGTCTTTATTAATCAATAACCTGCCCCTGTAATCATGCGTGAAAAGGAAGAAAAGTTGGTGGTTTTACTGCCTCTAGTGTTCATTTCAGTTGGAAAGTCCATTGAAATGCATATAGGTACTTTTTTGCAGTTTTGCAGAAATGTAGCCAGAGTCACGTATTTCCAATGAGCCTGGGTTGGGTTTTTTCAGCGATTTATGTGTTTAGCGTGTGAGGTCTAGAGCAGCTGAGTCTTCAAGCTTTGTTTTGAATGTGGTTGGGGTGTTAGTTGTTCTCATAGCTGTTGGGAGTAAGAAGAAAAGTTGGTGGTTTTACTGCCTCTAGTGTTCATTTCAGTTGGAAAGTCCATTGAAATGCATATAGGTACTTTTTTGCAGTTTTGCAGAAATGTAGCCAGAGTCACGTATTTCGTATTGAATGTGGTTGGGGTGTTAGTTGTTCTCATAGCTGTTGGGAGTAAATTCCGCTACTGAAGAACGAAGACCAGAAGTACCATGATCTGGACAAGTGGGTACTCATCATGTTAAGAAAAGAGAGGGTTATGTGGCCAGAATTAGTTAATTGTAGCCAGGCTGGGATAAGCTGTTTGAAGAAGCATTGATGTAAACCACTGGCTGTTGTGTTTTGTCAATTGCAGGCATACATTTATGGTCCTGCTTCTTTACTTCTAAACTGCATGTCCTGTGTATGGTCACAGGAATGCTGGAGCCTCTCTTAACGTCTCAGGCCATAGACAGAAAAACACCATGGATGGATGGCCGGTCTATCACAGGGTTCTTCTTACATTGTACCTCTTAACTGTACTGTACTGTCTTTTACGAATAAAAACAATTATGAACTTTTTACTGAAACACAAACACGAAAATTAAAGTTTTCATTTAGCTGAAAACCAAAAGCAAAAATAAAATTAATTTAATAATCAGTTAATCAAATTTACTTAATAGTCAACGCTTAAATAAAAAATGAGTTGTACAATCATTTAAATTGCACTTGAGGTGGTTTTTATATAAACTTTTTTAATGTTTCTACTAAAATTTTTTGTTATATAAACATTTAAATGGTGGCTGTAACAAAAAACTTGTTTTAATGACAGATTTATTTAAACAAATGTTAAGTAAAAACATAATGAATATGTTAAACAGTGCACTGTACTGAAAAAAACAGGTGTAAAAGTTTTTTTTTAGAAATTGCGGTAACCCTTTAGTATAGGGACCAATTCTTACAATTAACTAGTTGCTTATTAGCATGCCTATTATTAACATATTGGCTGTTTATTAGTAATTATAAAGCACATATTCTACATGACCATATTCTACATCACTAATCCTTCCCAATACCTAAACTTAACACCTACCTTACTAACTATTAATAAGCAGTAAATTAGGAGTTTATTGAAGCAAAAGTTGTAGTTAATGGTTTGTTAATATCGAGAGTTGGACCTTAAAATAAAGTGTGACCAAAATTGCTTGTACATTTCACAAATAATTACAAAGAAACACCAAGTAACACTGAATTAAACATATTTTTAGTGAATGTTTAGTGAAGTTTTGTTCACGCATTAACAGAAAACAGCATAGACTAAAAGATTTTGAGATGTAAGAATCCATATCGGTATCAGTTAAAATACTTCACATACTAATCAAACTGTCTGTGTTTATTTTGCGATAATGACTGACGTACTTATGCAATTCCCTGGCTGCAGAGTAATTTCCCCGGACTGCTTGCAGGAAGCAGGTTCACCAATCAAATCTGCCAGCGTCCAGTCAGTGGGTTCCCCTTGCAGTTGGGTATTTTATCTCCCTTTTCACACGTTAATCATTTAAAAAAAAAATTTCTGTTGATTTTCTTTAACAAAAATAAACACCTTTCCGAATGCTGATGCACCACTCAATGCATTTATTTTCGCTTACCCCATAGTTGCTTTGCATCAAAATAACGTCCACTTTAAGGTCAAATTCTCGCTATTAACAAACCATTAAAGGTGGGGTAAGCGATTTTTCATAAACGCTTTAGAAAACTGATTCGGGCCGACTAGCAAAACAAACTTGTAGCCAATCAGCAGTAAGGGGCGTGTCTACTCATGATGTGGAGGAGAGAGCGTTCAGTGCACAGGACGGACATTAGCTGAGCCGAGCGACAGAAAGATAGAGATGGTGGAAAAACAAAACAAAAGAGGAAAACGTGGTTTGTTTTGGTGATTTCAAATGTCAAAATTGGCTACCAGAAATCGCTTACCCCACCTTTAACTACGACTTTTGCCTAAAAAAAACTACTAATGTGCTGCTTATTAATAGTTAGTAAGGCAGTTGTTAAGTTTAGGTATTGGATAGGATTAGCGATGTAGAATATGGTCATGCAGAATACGTGCTTTATAAGTACTAATAAACAGCCAATATGTTAAAAACAGGCATGCTAATAAGCAACTATACTAAAGTGTTACCAAAATAACAATAATCTATGAGTGCTGTGCAGACATAAGCAGTAGCTTGCTGAAGCAGTATCACGAATAAACCACTGGCAATGACCAATCAGCATCAAGGACTAGAACTATCCATTCTATAATGCACATAATCCTGTATATATAAGTGCTCCAGGTGTGTTTATGAATCTGTTGCGGTCGAGTCCATTTATATGAAATTATGCAATGTCCAGATGTGCCTGTGCTAGTGGTTTTTCTGACCTGCCTTACAAAAATAAATTAAAACACTAACATATATTTGTTTATGTGTGTCCAGTGGGAGCTCTTGTGGCGTGTGTATTTGTTTGATCACCTGTGACTTCAGCGAGGTGATGGTGTCCTCCAGCTCCTGCTGCAGCTCTGCGGGAATCAGGCCTTTGATCTTCGACTCACACTCCTGACGGACGTGTGTGATCTACACGAGGAGAGAGGGGAAGAGTTTAAAAAATCAGACTGTCAGACACTGTGGTCAGTTCTCGGTAAACTAAAGCTGCGGCAAGAGTACTGCTAACTAAGCCTGTCTGTCTAGCAAGTGCAGACTATACACTGAACATACAACTTTGGCAAGTTTCCCCTCTTCCTACACACACTCAAGCAGAGAAACACTTTTTGTCAGCAAACTGAGGAATGGAGAAGACGTGTTGCACTGAGGATACAGCAAGGTCATGTCTGAGAGCCCCTTTTAAAGAAAAGAGAAAACTATGCCTTTTCTGAGGCCAGACTAGTCACTGTCTACATTTCATCTGTTACATAGACATCAGTACCATGGTTAATGCTGCAGTTGTACATTACGAACTGAACTGATACAGGTCTTTTGGTTTGGTACACACAATTACACAACTGACTGCATACAGTATCTCTATATGGAGAACAAGTTGGTTGTTATGCCATGTCTGGTTATTTTCAGTGCCTTGCATTCTGCAGTGTTCATTAACAGAGACTTGGGTAACACTTTAGATTAGGGAACAGGAACACATATTCATAAATATTTAAGTAAGAGTTTTCCCTCAATAAACTCCCAATTTGCTGCTTATTGATAGTAAGTAAGGTTTGCAGTAGTTATGTTTAGGTATTGGGTCGTGGTAAAGGATGTAGAATATGTTCATAAAGAATAAGGCATTAATATGTGCTTTATAAGTACTAATAAACAGCCAATGTGCTAGTAACATGAATGCTAATATGCAACTAGTTAATAGCGAATAGTGTTACCTGATCTAAAGTGTTATGGAGATTTATGTCACACAAATAACACTCCACTAAAAAAAACAACAACTATATCTACATCCTCTTTACTACTAGTTTTAACATGAAATGAACATCTCATGCCTCATGCAATCCTTCAATCAGTCTTCCAATTGCGGAAAGACGTCAAAACAAAATGTCTGGTAGCATTTCATTTACCTCAGGCAGGCAAGTCATCAGTGTCCACAGTTTGTTACTTCGCTAAATAAATGAAGTCTAGAGGGGAGCATTTTGCGAAATATTAGACTTATATATTTTACTTTACCTGTTAGTGATGTGTTCATTATTTAATGTATGCTTAAATAAATTTGTTATGAAACAAGTTATGACAGCCACTGTGTAAATTTATATATTTCAACAACAAATAGAAATTTCATAGTTTAGAAGTTAATTTAAAAACTGCATTATGTGCAATTTACATGTTTGCGTACAATTTTTTAAGTTGAGTGTTGATTATTATATTTAAAATTAAATAGCAAATAAATTTAAGTTTGGGCTTATAGTAATGTAAAAGGGCTACCTATAGTTTAGAACATAAGTTGAGGTAGATTTTTATCGCTAAGAAAATTTTAATTATAATTGAATTTATTTAAAGAAAGGGCAATTTGTTCAGTAAACCACTGTTTAATTTTTAGAAAAGTTATTTTATGTTTAGTTTTTCCCCCTGGTGTTATACCGAACTGTGACGTCAAAACTGAGGACCGAATTTGTCCCTAAACTAAAGACTAAAAAAGCAACAACAATGTACACATTAAATTCTCTGTAGTTTTGTATTGCAGTTTTGAATGTGCCAGTCTTTCTTGGTGTTCACCATCCTGATGGACCGTCTCATGTCAAGTTTAGTGAATGTGAGAATGTAAAACAATAGTCTTCTAGTCTTGGTCTTAAGAGGTCTGGTATTGGTCTTTATCTGGTTTAGGTCTTAATCTGGATCTTGATGGGTCTGGTGGTCTGGCTCTCTGCTGACTGTGTCAGACAGACACTGAGGTCCTTGGCAGTCTCTGTCCACCGTCTTATGTTAAAAATGTCTTAATATTCGCCTTGTTTGAGGGAACAGAGGAGCAACAAGTAAGATGATTGCCTTTCCTAAAATAATTTTCCTGTTGTGGATTTAACTGATTGTTCTGGCTTTCTGTAATTAATCTTCCGGGGTGCAATGAAAGGATTGGAAGCCACTTCAAAGAGGAAGAGTATATATTATCTGAACACAGCTGTCTGTTCTTTTTTCGTCCCACAGTGAGCTGTAGACTAGGCCTTTGCCATTTAGCTAATTGTCCCTCGCTCACAGCCCTCTGATGTTACTGAGTTGATGTGTCAATCAATTTACTTATGAACTAAAACTAAAAACCTAAAAACAAAACCTAAAAAAAAAAAAAAAATTATAATAAGCTTTAACATTTGGTAACTAAAAACCAGATCCATTGTGAGAGGAGACTACTGTCTGAGTGATTTTATCCCCAAAAGAATTATAGCATTGGCTATCGAGACAACATCTGAGTGTCTCTAGCTGACCGTATTTGGCCCGAGGGTTCTTGAGATCTAGCGGTAGATGCTGGACTCATAAGAGCATGTTGTACTGCTCTCCACCGGCCTCCAATCCCAAAGACTTTATCTCAATTACCCTCTTCATCATACACATTCCATGCAACACAACTAGTACACACTACAGCAGACGCAGCCCTGCGTACTGTATCGGGAGGCCCACGTGTAATTGAAGTCGACATGCCATGAATGTTTGCCTCAAAGAGTGGGAGGTAAAGGCATCTGTGAGGGAAAGGAAACGGGGGAGTGGTTTTCATATAGAGCTAGACAGCTTTTTGAGAATAGGAGCCATCGTGCAGCGCTGTGTCTGGCTAATAGCCCTTTACGTATAACTTTCTTTGCGCAACAAGTTCAGGACGAGATGCAGCAAAAATGTGCCAGGGGAAAGTAGCTCTTAGCATCTGAGTGCTAACAGCATGGCTAAATGGACTGGTGGGGGGTTGGCTAGTACTGGTGTTAATGTATGAGACTGTGGAGGACCTCACAACAACTGAACTCCTCACCTTTGGCAGTGTCAGTGATTTGAAGAGGTTTGGTCCTCATTTACAAAGTAGCCCTACGAGGAGCCTAACTAGATGTTAACATTTTCTGAGGAAAAGCTGAGTGGTGTTTGCATGTGCAAAACTCATCCCCACGATGCTAGGGTTATGTCTAAACTTTGTATCTTGGTGTTTATTTAGTCTTATCATGGTCCCTGTAACCTATTTCTACATCTTTCTTTAAGAAAGTCTCTGAATCTCTGACATTCTTCTTTCTGAGCATCAGAACTCTCTTTCGCTGTCTCAGGGTCTTCCTATCACTTCCTCAGCTATCTGTCAATATAAATCAACTCACATTTGACTTATTAACCTCTTATTTTAAAAATACCAATGTTATCACTTTAATAATACTCTCTTTGGAAGGCTCTCTTCTCAAACAGCAAAGTTGTGATGTGACATTAACATTTTCTGAAGCAACTCTGGTAGAGCAACTGTGATGCTTGTCTTCTCGAACACCACTAAAGACGTCACCAACTTAATAATAATAATAAATAATAGTAATAATAAATAAAAACATGAATGTCCATTAATTAGTGCTACTCAAAAATGAAAATTCTGTCATCATGTCCTTCCAAACCTGACTTTCTTTCTTCTGCAGAACACAAAAGAAGTTATTTTAAAGCATGTTTCAATTGTTTTTGTCCATACAATGAAAGTTAGTGTCACCTGACATTGTCATTGTATGAAAAACACTGAAACATTTTCCAAAATATCTTCTTTTGTGTTTAATCCTACCCTCATACCTAAACTTAACAACTAGTTTAAAGAATTGGTCCCCAAACTAAAGAGTGAGCAGAATATCAAACACTGGGGAAGTGTCATTCACAAATAATGTCTGTTGATATTGCATTAATGCAAATAGCATATTTATGGCTGGAAGGGCCATAAATATAATGGTCATATAAGGTCCCGTCCACACGGAGACGCGTTTAGCTGTATACGCATACATTTTGTAACGTATAGGCGTTTCGTCCAAACGGATGCGGTGTTTTGGGAGAGTGAAACCGATATTTTTTTAAACCGGGTCCCAGAGTGGATAAATCTGAAAACGCCACCCTTGCGTTTTCGTGTGGACGGCGAATCCGTATATTTTCTAAAACGATGACGTAATCAGCCCACGTCTTGCCCCTAGTCAGACACCGCTACGTCACGTAACAGCAACAAAAACATGAACAAACACTGAACGATTGTCTTTTTATTAGGAATGCACCGATACCGATACTGGTATCGGTATTGGGCCCGATACTGAGCTCCTGTACTCGTACTCGTTAAAATGCCCCGATACCAAACGCCGATACCACACAGCATGTGATAAGTGCCATATTCAGACAAAGAAACACTGACAACAGACAGCAGAATGGCGTTATTAGAGATTAAAGATGTCTAAGAAGTATATGTATGCAATGAATATAAAACATTCAGTATTAATGCCTGTATAGCCGATTTGCGCCAGCTGGTAAGCAAATCACGCTGAGTGGATTGAGCGCGCAGCGGCGCAGATGCGCGAGCTTGTCGAGTGAATATCCCTTTCTCACAGACATCACTGGAAAGTTTGTAGTTCGGTCGGATATGTCAAAAAGAAGTAAGTAAAACAATGCACAAGTTACTTAACGGTAGGGAGAGAGAGAGAGAG